TATTGGGTGTTGTATTTGCGACTGTAGGGGATTATTATTTCACTAAAATGGGTATATTTCCTTTATTTAATATCTAGCATTTTTTTCAAAGTAATTGTGATTTCTGATACTTAATTTATATATATATTTATGTATGTTTGTATAGGATTCTTTTTAACTGTCCTTGGTACAATATTGGCTGCTCTGAAGACTGTTGTCACAAACCGAGTTCAAGTTGGTCGGCTTAAACTTCATCCCTTAGATCTATTACTGCGCATGTCTCCCTTAGCATTCGTCCAAACTGTGATCTATGCTTATGTTACCGGGGAATTGCAGCGAGTTCGTGCCTTCAGTCGGACGGAAATGACCACATCTTTGGTTTTTGCTCTTATTACGAATGGTGTTATCGCCTTCTTTCTTAATGTTGTAAGTTTCACAGCAAATAAAAAGACATCAGCTTTAACTATGACTGTCGCTGGCAATGTAAAACAAGTGCTATCTATTATTCTGGCTGTCATGATATTTAATTTAACAATAACGCCGACAAATGGCCTTGGAATTTTTCTTACTTTAGTGGGAGGTTGGTTTTTTTTTCTGTTTTCGCATGATTTTATTTCAATAATTAATAATTAATTCGTATGTCATCATTGATAAATCGATATAATATAGGCGGATGGTATGCGTAAGTATTGACATCGTACAAATGGTTGCTGTGTTGAAAGTCTTAATGTACATATGTTTTTATTTTGAAACCAATAGTAAAATCGAATTGTCTGAACGTAATCGTGCAGCAGTCCGAGTCCTAACCGAGAAGCCACCCTTGGGCTAATTATATATTGCAAATATATTATTATATATAAAAGAAGTCAATCAAAGAGTTTCCCTCTTGCTTTCTCTCTTTGTATATTCCCCACTGAAGCGAGATATTATCTTTCTATCTACTTCGATTGCAATTTTTTCATGGGCATAATTGTATTAATACGCCTTTACAATATGCCCTCATTAATTTGGATACAACATTAATCGCGTTTTATATTATTTGTTTAATCGTGTTGTCTGTGAGGAATGAGACAAGTTTTTAAAAATTTTTTAGACTTCACATTGCGCGGAAATTCCGAGTTTAGATATATATACTTTTATTTTCATTGTTCTATTTTTCCTGATAAGCGGTATACCTAATGTTGATAAAATGGCTAAATATGTGAAATACAGGCTAATAAGCTTCATGTTTAATATAGACATTTATGGTTGATTCAAATTTTCCGATTGATTTGGATGATTCTATATTTATGCATATACCTGTATACTGTAAATTTTGACTTTACTAATTTAGTAATTATCTTTTCTTTTTTAGAGATTATGTTTACATTGTCATTTATTTATATTATTTAACGTTTTTTAGTTACTGGTAATTAATCGAATGCCAATTCTAGCAGAAGATTAAATGTGGGTTTGTTCTTTTCTTTTTCTTTTTTTGGCATGGTGGCTTTATTATCACTATATATTTAGAGTTGAACCAGCCTGCTACTTGTGCATTATAATATCGATTTTATTATCGATATTATCGACTTGTTAACCAATCATTAGTTTATATAATCTTGTATGATCAGTATACTCGATACATAAGGTTGTATTAGTTGTAAATGACCTAACGTTAATTAGTCCTGATTCTACGCCTGAAATAGGCCATTAGTTTAAATATATTTATATATTATAATTATTTTTTGGCTCCAAATGAAATATTTGCAGATGCTCATTCGACTTGACTACTTGGCCGCTTATACAAAATCGGTTAACAAAAGCAAATGCCCCGAATTTTCCCGGTATCCATGCACCTAGGATGTTAAACAGCTCGGTTTAATCGGTTTTCGAGTCGGTTAGAGTCAAGTTGCTTAAAGTCAACTCCAATTCGACTCCAATTTATGCATTGCATTGTGTTAAACCAATCATACCTATCCAATTTTTGATTTTTGTACAACCTCACATGATTAAAATTTAAATCTGAGTCTGATGACTTACTCGACTTCTGAAGTCGGATAAAGGCATTTAACATCCCTACTTGTACCTGACCTTAACAATTTTCCTTATATGTGGCCAAGATAAAAAAATTGGCTTAATTGGCTAAGAGTGTGAGCAGCTCTCCCAGTATGATTTTTAGTAATCAAGACGTGCTAATCATTGTGATTATTTAGTGGTTATTATAAGTACTGTATGTTCTCAAGTGATTTGAACCGAGAAAAATTTCCTTAATTGGTTAACCGAACCGAATTATTTTATTCAACAGGTTTCCAACTGGTTAAGATTAATATCTCTACTACTGTACTATATATCTTCTCAACCTTATGTTCATTTTCTTTTCGGAACTTTCGGAACCTTTACTACTATACTGCATCAACCCGCCAATCAATTACCCAATTCTCAACCGGTTAACCGAAATTTATTAGGTTCGGGTCGATTAACCGATTATAGCC